TGCAGCCCATTGTGTAATGGGCAAACTCAGTTTGCAATCAGTTAGAAACTGCTCTCTAAAATAAAGCAGATCTTTAACAATATCTCCTTTGCCCCCAGCAATTGCAGGTGGCATCCACATTGATATCGAGGAGAAAAAGCTGAGAGAGAAAAAGGAGTCTGAAAGTGGTCCTAGGGAAGCACCTAGTTTGCTGGGCAGACCTCAGAAGGAAATTTCTGGAGAAAAACCAGGATGCTGGTGTGGATATTTTGGTGAATTTAAATTCTTACAAAGAATAGGCAGGAAATCCCAAGGCAGATGAAGCCAAAGCTTGTCATTTGTTTTTTTGGCGATCTTGAGTCTCAGAGACGCCTGATATTTGGAAGGAGGGAAGGAACTGGAGAAACTGCCATCACCTGGAGAGAGTTTGGAAGTGTTCATGGAGAGTGCACAGCAGGCAGGAGGGGGAGTGATAAAAGTGAAACAAGGGGAGTTCCTCAGGGGAGCACTGAACACCAGGCAAGGAGATAAATTAATCGGGAAACAGTTTGCTAACTGTTGGCTGGGGGTATAACCAGGGCAAGCACTCAATACAGAGCCAAGAGCTGCTATTCAGCCAAACTGTGTAGCTGCATTAAACATAATGCAGGAGCCTCCTCTGAGTCTGAAGTAGGTACAAAACTTCTAAAGAAAGCAGAACACAGGCTGAGAAATACCACTCTGTGTTTAATGTCCCTGTGTTTATTTGCGGGACAGTTTTAGAGGAGCACTTTCAGTTTATGTGTAGACAGCGTGGAGATGGAATCAACAGACTGGGCTTTCAGGAAAGGCTGGAGATAACAACAGGTGAAATGTAAACTCGGGTTTCTTGGCATATACAGGTAAAAAGTTGATGGTGACAAAATTTGTAATTGCATTTGGGAGAAAAGGTATCTTTTACTGGACCAAAACTATGCCAACCACATCAAGAGGGTATCCTTACTGGAAACACAGGGGACTTGCCCTTCTGTAGCCTTTGAACTCATCTTTCAGGTAACAGGAATGTTCTCTGCAGGGTAGGAAGTGGTCTGAGGACTACCTTGGATGGTAGGTGCATTCCTCATAGACCAAGTAGCCAAACAAATTTGGCTTCCACTGGTCAGGGAAATGGTGTAATTTGGCTTAACTTGCTAGCATGGGGTGAGGTTTTCTAAAGTCCTGCTTTGCTCAGAGGATTGCTCCTGAGAGCTGAGCAAGGCTTTTAGGCTTTTCCATCAGGCTGGTGTCACCTGAAGAACTTCTGCTAGCCCCAGTGTGCTCCCATACAGAAAACATTGCCTGAGACACACTCCAATGCCCAATCCACAGGGGAAGGGATGAGGCATGTTGGGCCACAGCAGAACAGCTGGCTTTCCTCCCTGCCTCCCTCTCTCCCTCTGCACAGGCAGTGCAGCACAGCCAGCCTTGCCCCTGTGGAGCAACCTCAGCCTTTGGGACTGGGAATTTCCAGGTTACAGTAAATTCAATTAGAGTTAAGGTTCACCCCAAGCTGCTGATGAGCTGGCAACCATTGCCTTGATGATCTGTTTGTGATTATCCTACTGAGAGTTTAATTTAGTTGTATTTTTGCCAGTTGATATTTGCTGTCCCAGGGGCAGAGCATTGCATTGTGTGCTCAGTATGCAACCTTATGGTTGTTTTTCAAATATGTAAATAGAGGTAAGCTATTTTTCTCAAATCTCTAGCTATTAGAGCTCATTTTTAGTGCTACATGCACTTACTACAAATCCCTTGGATTTGAAGTCCCTGCTTCTGTTCTCAAACCTCAATCTCTATTTAAAAGTATTGTTAGAGTTAACAGTAAGGAAAGGAAATGCTGGTTTTGGTGACTAAAGTAATGCCCCTAAACACAGCAGATAGATTACTTTCAATGATGGATTCAAACACCCTCAGGGACTGCTTGGTGTCTCTATTTACTATTATCAATGTTGTAATTTTTTTATCAAGACTGGCAGTTTCTTCTCATAGAAAATCTTTATTGCAAGGCTGACCTGCCTAACACCTCCCTATTAGTAACAGAAACAAATAAGAGTTGATTGTTCAGCTGCTGTCATTTAAAAAGACTAAATCAACCTGCCACAAAAGAATAATTCCCTCTGGTAACTTTATCCATTTGCCCTTGGTGGTGACACTGGGCATACCACCCTGGTTGAACTATATATTAGTTCCTAGAGAAGCATTTCTAAATATATAGCTCTGCACAATGTTGTAATTGAAAAAAAGTAAATAGCTATGCATGGTTCAGTAATCTGAAAAGAATGCAAAGTTCAGTTCTAATTGCTTTGCACAATTTAGTACCATTTTGCTGTGCTTTCCAAATGGGTTTATTCTGCTGCTCTGTGTATTTCTGTTACATAACATGGCAGCACTGCCTATATACAGGCAGCTCTGTTTTTAAAAATGATGTGTCAGTATTTTTATTTGATGTTTTGAGCACATTTTTAAAAGACTTACCTAACCAAATGACCCACACTGGGTGTCTGCTTATCCAGAGTCCTACAAAGGATGCAGTAACCTGTCAGATAAGTTTATGAACTTGATTTTAAGCTTATTAATTAAAGCTGTCTTTCTTTTATCATCTTGGAATCAAGTTTCTATGTTCTCTTTGGACTGGAGAATCTTTAAAAGAGATTGTGAAATATGTACTTTTTAAAATTTAGATTGTAGCATCCACTGAGGTTGACTTATATTTATTTTTCATGCAATTCTTCTATATGCTTCTGGATATTAAAGCCCATATACTGCCTATCTGTGAAGAGTTGCTGTTCTGAAACTTAAGGAAGAATGACTGAATACTCAATCATTGGACTGGAACTTCAGTTTAACTTCAAATTGCTCTTTTATTTTATACAGCTGACAATTTTATTGTCACACTTTGCTCTTAGTGCATTCGTCACATAAATCCTACATATAGTATCATTATATTTGAGACTAATTTAAAAAAATGTCTAAAAGAATTGTTAATATTATTGATACCTACAAGTATCCCAGAGACTAATTCACCTTGCCTCTTTTCAAGGTAAATTATCATACTGCTAATAGGGATGGTAATAAAAGTTAGTTAAGATGTAATTCAGAATTTGTCTCTATCTATCTATCTATCTATCTATCTATCTATCTATCTATCTATCTATCTATCTATCTCTCAAAGCTCTTCTCCAACCAACTAGAGGAATGTTTTGGCTGGTGGGTTTTGCATATGGTAATTTCAAGGTTCCTGTGCTGTTTTTTTTATAATTATATGGATGAAAACAGAGTTGTACTGGGATTTAAAGCAGGGAACACCAAAAGGCTCAAATTGTTAGAAAGCTTAGGAAAAACACTTGCAATATTTTTCAAGGTTTTTATAGATGTGCATATGCAAAAGGCTTGAATATAAATGCAATCACGCATTTCATGTGTGCCAAAATGTGTGCTAGTAAATATTACAGTGCTTTTGGGAGACTTATTGGAAACACAATCCCACATGAGGGAAGTGTATGGGAATAACTCTATTGCCAGACTATCAGGATGTGAATGGTTCAATGGAACAGAATGAAGAGCAGAGAGAAGCCATTTTCTATTAAAAAGAAAATTTAAAATAAAATTAGTCATCTCCATTTTTGGTGGGAAAATTAAAGACAAAGGGAGATCAAAGAAAACAGAAAATAAAGGGAAATAAATTAAGATAACCTGAAATAAAAACACCTGATGGTTGATAAGAAGCAGAGATTGAAACTGGTTTTAGATTTCACTTAGTGGTATTGCACAATGATTTTCGTTCTAGGGCAAGGTGGCTTTGGAAAGCCTGTAGGAGATATGAGGAGTTTTTAGATGTTAGCATTTTGTGTGCATGTCAGTCTCCAGGTAGTTGTAGATGCAAGTTTTTGAATCATCCTAACTTTCAGCATATTTGTATCCCAATGATATTGTCTTATTGTTCAAGAAGTAGTTTTACACAAACTGATTTCTAATTACCTATCAGTATACTGATTAGAGGATATAAAACTGTTGTTATGACAGGTATTCCTCAAAATTAAGATAGCCAGTAGAAATTTTCTCTCTCTAGCTTATTTTGATTAGTCCTGCAAACAGTTTGGGACTGATTACTCAAATGTTAGCTAAGATGGTCAGATCCTGACTGTTTTCTGTGGAGGCAGAGAATCCACTGAAGGTTATTTTACTATAGCTGAAAAAAGAAGCTTTGAATTTGGAATTAATAATAGGATATAGAATGAAAGAGTTAACTTCTACAGTTTCACTGCTATTCTTCTGTTGCAGGGACATTATTAACAAAGGCTTGATTGTTGTTTTGGCTACAAGCATAAAGTACAAAAAAACTTTATGAAGTTCCCAGACACAGACTGGCATCTAGACTGACTGTCCTTTTCCAAAGCAGTTTTCTATTAAATAAGTCCATTATTAAAACATGGTAGTTTTAATTAAATCTCTATAATCTTCCATCAGGAAAATGGCATTAGCCTGCTAGCCATGGAAATATGGTAAGTCCAAACAGTACCCCTGTTATTGTTACTTGATTGTGTGTTGGAGAGTTTGATCACAGGCATGGAGATTTGGATGCTGTTGTACAGTGGGGCTGGCCCAGTGCACTCAGGAGTGTGTGTGTGCTGGGCTTTACAACAATTACAACTCTTTCTAACTACTCGACCTGAAATCCTAAAGGCTGCACAAAATCTGGTGCAGCTCCTCCTTGAGTTGTTGTGGCACCACAGAAGTGCTTGAACTAGCATGATTTATTAGCACATGGAAAAACAAAGAGGTGTGTAAGATGTATTCACCAAACATAAATGTGTCTTCCCCTGATGATTATAGTGCTGGGAACTATACATATAAACAAAAATAAAGTTATAATTTTTGCATTTAAGTTTTGGTTATATTATACTAAATTATAAATATAAATATATAATATATTATATATCTATTATATATCTTATAATAGATATAAATTATATATATATATGTAAAATTATATATATATATAATTAAAAATCACACCTTTAAATGCTGGTTCAGGTGTTGAGATCAGGAGCATTTCTAAGGGATTTTATCCCTCTCTCTTGTTCAGATGTCTGTGTCATCAGACAATTCTAGGGAATTGTCTTCTTCTTCTAGGATTGATATCTATATAGGATATCTGATAGGAACTTCTAGGGAAAGGCAGTAAAACAGAAGAGCATGGTGCTCTTTTTACTAGAAGTCCACTTTTCCCTGCTTCCACTGAAATGATTGTCAGCTGCTGTTGACTTCAGGGGAATGAGAATGAAGTCCCATGTGACAAATATTAAAATTATGGTAGTCCTAGACTTCTGAGTTTTATAGGAATGCAATTATCTTAAATATGAGCTGTTACTACCACCACAAAAAAATAAAAAAACCCAACCAAAAAAAAAACCAACCAACCAAAGAAGGGGAGGGATGCAATTACCCAGAGAGCAAGTGGCATGCTTTTCATTGATTAGACTGTCCTCTTTGATTAAATTCCTCAGTATTTTTAATTTTATAGCCCTAATTGCTGCCTTACATTTTGCTTGGGTCCCTTTGTTCTAATTCATCTGCTTTCAGGTCCAGATTTATTTTTTTCAATTCATTCAGATTCTCCACAAACTTCTCCTGTCACTATGTGTTTTGTCTCTCTCTACAGATGATTATTTGACAGAAAGTTTCCATTGACTCCAGAGAATGAGTCCTGTAAATACCATTTGCGGTTCTCAGATGGAGTAGTTGCAAAATGGAATTGATTAAAAGGTCAAAAAACATTACTGTTGCAATGTCTGAATTGCTCCATCAAAGTGTTAGTGGGACAAATGTGTGCAAATATTTGCATGAGACTAATCTGGATTTAAAAAAAAAAAATCTTTGATATCAGCTTTCTGATGTTTCCCAACAAGAGAATTATAGCCAAAAACTATTTTCAAATTATAGCTAAAAACTAGTGTTTCCTCTTACACTATTGTCAGTTAGTTGTAAATCTGGAGGTAATGAAGTTCCCTTAGACAGAGTAAGATTCAGAATCAGTATGTAAACTATTTTTAAAATTCTGGAAATTCTAAATTGTTCAAAGTAGCAATTTTGAAAACAATAGTTTGATTAGTATATTTAGCTAAGAATTCTTGCAGAAATTGGAAGTAACCAGAGCATACCTGGATCTTTCTACAGGAGAATCACTGATGGGGAGCCAGTGAGCATCAGTAACCCCAGACTTGTTTCTCATACTGTGCATGGCACAGGACAAGAGGTGGTTGTGTGACCTCTCTTGCTCAGCAAGCCACAGAAGGCCAGCAAAGTCTAAAATGTGATGATACTGATTAATATGGGTGTCATATATGGGGCTTGGCAAAAGGTTAATTCTCATCTTATTTCCACAGCAGCCTTCACTGTCTTTTTATCTAGCCATCCTACAGGATGCAAATTTGCTCTGCCCTACTTGAAAAACATCCACAAATAATTATTGGCCACTGCATCCTGGACATCTGCACTGAATCTTGACAGAGACAACATAATCATAATTTTTAATGGCAGCTGGGTAAGCCCCATATGATGCCTTCTCCTTGTGATTTTTCTAGCAGCAAATATCAGAGCTGAAGTGATCAGTTCATGGTAAAACACAAACCTTTGCTTCACGATGAAAGCAAAGCCTTGCTGTGTATAACCTCTTTGTCTCTCTGCTCACTTGAGAGCAGAGAGAGATAATTTATGTCTGTCTGCAACATCTTTTGTGAACTGAGCACTTGAACTAAGCCTCAAGAGACTAAATAGGGAGCTGTTTCTACCTCTTCTTATCTGCTCTTGTGAAGGAAGAACTTATTTTGGGATGTAGTAAGACGCTTTGGCTCACTCCTGGTTTAGGTAGGCAATCAATGGGCAGGAAGACTGTACACAAATTCCTTGTAAAATTTGTATGTGTCTTGGGTGAATTTAAGAATAGACTTAACATTTACTTCAAATCCTCATTGCAAATTCACAGGAGGGCTGAGGCTGGAAGGGACCTGGGTCATCTGGCCCAGCTTCCCTACTCAAGCAGAGCCAGTTGCGCAGGACCACGTCCAGAAGGCTTCCAAGCATCTCCAGTAACGAGGGCTCCACAACCTCTCTTGGCAACCTGTGCCAGTGCTTGGTCACCCTCACAGGACCAAAGTGTTCCCTGCTGCTCAGAAGGAATCTCTTGTGTCTCAGTTTGTGCATGTGGCCTCCTCTCCTTGACTGGGCACCACAGGAAACACCCTGGCTCCACCTCCTTTGTGTCCTCACTGCAGGTATTTATGCACATTGTTGAGCTCCTTCTTCCTATCAAAACAATTTCAAAGCAAGTAGGTTTTTTGAGGGAAAATAATTTTGCCTAGAGATTTGAAAAAAGCTGGTTTTTGCATGAATCCTGGGAGTACCTGTATCTGTAGGATGGGTCATTGGTGCCTAACCTCCACTCTGTCATCTGGAGCTCCCTGCAGACCTGCCTTTCCATCACAAAGGAGCTCGTTCCTGCATGGACAGCAGGGCTGGCTGGCACATGCACAGTCTGAGCCACAAATCTGAGGCATGTTGTCACATAGAGGGTGAGAGGAAAGATGGTAAGAGCAGCCAACAAGCACTGAATTAGTTTGTGTGAGTAGAAAGTGGTGATGTGCCAGATGAACTGTTGTGGTGGGCAGATGGCAGCCCATAAGCCTGGGGCCTTATTGAACCAGACATATGACCTTGTTTCTTGAACAGTGAGAAGTATTCAACACATCCTCTGGAAACATTTAGGGATTGCTTGTGTTATTGCAGTTTATCTAAATTATTTGGATAACAGAAAGTATTTGCAGAGAAATGTGACTTTGCATAATCTTAAAGCACTGTGTAGAGACAGCAGAAGTAATGCAATGCAATGGAAGAGGAAAACCAAATTGTAAATGACAGGACAGTCTGTATCTGTTTTTTCCAGAGTCTAATGAAATGATAGATTGCAAATGTCAAAGGTAGAACATGCTACTATATAATCCTCTAAAACACTTCTAGTTTTTTATTAGAATTAATTCACCATTCTTTACCACACTATTATTTCCTAGTAACACTTGTGATTTCTCATATAATACTATTGCTTCAACAAAAGCTCCTTTGGATGAGTGTAGGCTGTAAAGTAGCACATTGCCAAGTTAAGAAAGAGGTAATTTTCAAAGTCCTATAACAGGAGAAAATAAACACACACTATCAAGGAGCCAGAGAGGTTCCCCAGATTCTGTGACTAGTGAAGGGGAAGAGAAATATTTGTATTTTGTTTTTTTTCCTGGCTAGCAAGAGGAGCTGTACACAAAAACTTCCCCTGGTCCCTTTGGTCTGTTGTCACACTGCAGTGCACTGGGGTCAGGTCTGCTCTCACCTGGTGGTCTCTACATTCACACTAACTCCTGGCTGGAGCTTGGCTGGTCTTGAAAAAAACCTCAGGGTGTGCCCAACTGATGGGCAGTGTTCCTGCATGTGTTCTTAAGGTTCAAGTCCTTACCTTCTTTTAACCCTATTTCATGTTCCTCTTCAAATTTATATCTGCTCCCTTGGTTTTAGTGTGAGAACCTGAACATGGGAAAGAAAAATACAAGCAGGTAGACAGGGTGCTCTGTGATCTGGGTGCTGAAGCATGGCTGTAATCCCTCCAGTTCACCTGCTGAAACAGCTCTGGTGGCTCTCAGGTGCCACATGTGGCTGCCATGGCTTTGCCAGCAGTGTTGGTCTGGCCTTGCACTGTTCATGTTCTGTTTTTGTTCTGGCAGGCTGCTCACACTCTCCTGAGGAAGGGACACGCACAAGGGAAGAAAAACAGTGAATTCAAGAGCATGGAGCTGCTGGAAAACAAGGAACCCTCCCCTGTGATAACAATCCTGTGAGTGAAGCTTCATCACCAGTGTTAGGCACAGCTATTGCAGCACAGGGCTGTCAACTCTCATTATTTAGGAACTCAGCAAATGGATTGCATTACTTCTTCAAACAGTCTTCTGAAATCAGGCTGTGGAACAGAACAAGAGGCACCAGTGCAGCTAGAGACTGTCACATGGTTTGAATTGAAGCAAACATCTTTCCTCCCCTTGCAGCATCAAGGAGGGTCAGTGCTGGTGCACAACCAGGCAATTGAAATGCAAAATAAACATGCTGGGGTTTTTTTTCTTTTGAGTGGAAGTTTAGAACTGTTCAGGGTGGAAGTAAAATATTCAGTTAAGAATAAGGCTCACAAATACAAAAATATAAGGGAGATTATAGCAAGCAGTGGACAGTTTAACCTGTTTTTTGGGTTTCCACTGTGTCATGGTAGTCTGTGGAAAGTTTGAAGTTTGTGAAAATTCCAGTAATATAATCAAGTCTGTTTAATGGAAATTCCTGTCCTTTTGTACAGCATTTGTAGTAAATTACCAGACTGGAGTACCCACACATTGGAATATTTAATTCTTATGATGCTCTACTACCATTATGGGCCTTTCAATATTTCATCAATGACTTGCCACTTATAAAATGAAGCAGCAGTAGGACAGAATTCTTTTTGGACGTAAGAGGGCAATGGCTACATAAATCCATAATTCAGCATATAGAGCTAAATTACAAATGAATAAAATAATTTCTTTTCACAACCTAATTTTTGTTAAATGTGTGCTAAACAGCACTGTCCCTAAAATATGCTCTGTGTGACACAAATACAAGACTGTTTATAACTCGTTTATAAAACCTGTAGATATTTTGCTTCTGTGGGACTTCTACGGTCAGTAGCACTTACCTCTACTGTTTGCTTTTGGTCTTCTGCTTAGGGATTGTGTAGAGCCTAAAACATTTTAAAATAAAGTTTCATGGAAAGCATCTATTTGCTAACAGTGCCACTTTCTTACAGGTCTGATTTATGATTAGAGGTGTGAGACAACCAATCTGCATATAAAATGCTTTGGTATCACATTGGTGCCAGTTCTGTCTACATGCTGCCTTTACAAACTTCTTTTCCAGTTTACAGATTGGCAGATATAGTTTGTCCTTTCCAGTGTCAGTGACGAGAGCTGGTGGGTATGAAATATGACCATGTTGTGTTTGTAAAAGTCAAGTATTTTTTTCTTAGAAAATGTTTATTTTTAAGTGAAAATGAGAAGAAAGCTGAATTAAGAACAATATAAATAATTCTTGAATTTTAAAACGACAAAGACCATCTTATTATAAAAACACTCCCTTTGAGTTACTGAGCAAAACCTGAGTATACCTTCCTTTAATTGGTCTGATGATGCACGGCAATTTCTTTCCCTAATGATATACTTTGTTCTCTGCATAGTCTTATATGTCTCTCATAAAGAATGATGCTGCAATTTCTTTCCCCAGTGTCACACTTTTGTACTGACTTATTCATGTGTCTGGCAGAATACAAGGTAGAATACTGTTTTATATTTATGACTAAAAGTCAAGTTTTAGTTCTTCCCATACCACCTTCTCTGAGGTGTCATGTTCAATCAATAAGACTATTAACAAGTTGCTTCAAGCACATATTCTTTTTTCTACTATAATTTACTTTTATTTTGGTGAACAAGCTAGACAGAGTAGTCTAAAACTCAAGCATGGATTAATTTTCTGCAGGTCAGCTTGTAATAAAAAGTTGTTTAACTTGTTAAGAGAGGCACATCAATGAAAGTTAAGGGGATTCAGAAATCTAGAAAATTATTTTTATTAATCCAATATGGCATATATACGCTCTCTCAAATGAATTTTAGTTTATCCTGTTTCTAAACCAACTAAATACTAATGAGGGGAATAAAAGTGACTTCCAGGCACACTCATTTTGTCTCTTTTCCACATCACTGTTGTTGGGCAAAACCCCAACAGATATGCAATGCCATCACAGGCACCAGAGACAACAACTTGAAATGCATAATAAAAATTCTCAGTTTATTAGATTTGTCCTTCTGTGATTAAAAGCATCTCTTAACAGCAGACATCTGTTGGACAACTTAGAGGGTTCCTTTTTGTCTTGGTATGTGAGAAAATCCTGCAGGCTGTATTGCTCAGCCCTGCTAGACCCCGGCATGTTGTGGATGCACAGGAAATGAAGCATATGCTCAGTGGTGGAACTGTAGTAACATGCAAGTTTGGAGTAATCTGTTGAAAAAAAAAGGTGCCATTCCCTATGATGTGCCCTGTGGAAAGGAAAATCCCATGTGAAATCTCTGATCTCATGTGATACCTCTGGTTGTGAATCAAGTTTGACAGAAAAAAATAAGTGTGTGATAGGCAGCATGCTAAAATCAAAATAATTTTGCATCTACACCTTTTAAGCCTTGTACTGTAGCTTTGCATGGAAAGATCACTGTAAACAGAGAAATGCTATGGAACAAGAGCATCACTCTCACTAATTTTCACAAGTGAAGCTAGATTATTTTTTTTCCACACAGTAAACATATGTCCTTCAGGCTTTCTTAAATGGGGTACCTCTTTCCTTAGTAAAAGTAGTTTTCTTCCTCTGGGCCCAACTAATTCATCTTTTGAAAGGCGACTGCTCTGAAGCCAAAAGAACAAAAATAGCACTGTGGGCCACCAGCATGCAGCAGGTCTTGTTTGTGTGTGCTTTCAAAGCAAAAAGGACCTTCATTGTTCTAAGAAAGTGTTTCAGGGCCAACTTTGTGTTTTGCAAGTATGCAATGCAGCCTGTGAGAAAGTCACCAAGGACATAATATTTATTTACATGCCCATGGTTCATCTGAAATTTGAGTGCTACAAAGCTTTCAAAACAGATAAAAAGCTTTATGAGGTAGATTTTCAAAATTTGGAAGATTCATATGTATAAAGAAAGACATATTTGAACCAACAGTAGAGAAGGTTTAAATCTTTATGTTTCAGAACACAAAATAGCCTCTATGAAATTAAAATTCCATAGAATTTTAGGTTAAAATTTAGAGTTCCTTCCATAGGAAGGAACTCATCTTGAGTCTAAATATACAGTTTCTTGCTGAGACGCTGGGGTCTTTTCCCCCAAATCCAAGTCAAAGAAGGACTGTGAAAGAGCAGTAGGCTATTTTAATATGCTGTGGTGATTACCATAGGTGTGTCTCCATGTACATGCAAGAGGACATACATAAGTATATCCCGTCCTTACTGAAAGCCTGGAAGCTGCAGGAAGTACTGAAGCCTTTCTACAGTGAATATTATATTATCAAAGCACTAAGATTGAGAAATTTGGCTTTGTGCCTTTCCAGGATGTTGACAACAACTGAGGTTAGGCCTCTAGAGCTCAGTTCCTGCACCAAGGTAATTTGGTCAATACCAGGAAATGCAGAGATGAAGGTACATGCTGGGCACTTCTCAGTCTCCTCAGGACCAATGATTATTGCTGCAAAAATCAGAGTTAATGAAGTACCAAATAAGTGGTGGCTTCTTCATTTCTTCGTCTCCTCAAATTGACACTGGACACCTATTGGCAGGTCAGAGTGTGATGATTCCAGGATCAGAGCAGCTGGGTTAATTTTACATGCTGTGGTCTACCTGCTTTAGAGAGCACGGAATTCAAACTGGAGGATTTTAGGACATTTTCTTGTTTATGGGTAGGTTTGAGAGAGGCCTAAGGGAACACCCTCCCTGTTGCTTGCATCTGGATCCAAAGAGTTAATTTGAACAGGAATTTCAGCTGGATTCACTCTGTTGGCTGTATCTAGTCTGAGTGATAGAGAAATTCCTTAGAGCTAAGCTGTGAGTGCAACGTGAAGAAAAGTCAACATGTGCTGGGAGAAATCAGGGATGTCTTTTCCCAGTGCTTGACTTGGTTTGTTGTATGAATGAAGAATCTTCATCCCAAGACAGTGAGAGTGGTATGAGAACATGCACGACAGCTGGCCTTAGAGCTTGGCAAAGAGTGAGTGAAGAAGGTTGAGAAATTCTCCTCTGGGAAGTGATGAAGAAGTGATTCATACCTAGCCAGTTTGGAGAAATTCTGTCTGATTTATAGGCCACAGGACAGGAACTCCTTTGGTCTGTGTTCTACTGAATTGCATGAACTGAAAGGAAATTATTTTTTGTAAGATTTCAAACCTTTTTTCTCAAAAGGCTTCAAAGCATGTGTTTAACAGCTAACCCACAACTTCTGTAAGTGGTACCAGTATTTTTCCATCGACAAGATTTCCTTTTCCCACGTTTTTGTTTAATTTTCTCAGTGTCTGATTAAGCAGGTAAATTAATCTGTGTATAAGTAGTATATTTTTCCTAAAATGAAGGCCTTTGATAATGTTACAGTTCTAACAAATTTAGTAACTGTATATGCTACCTGATGTAAAAAAAATTACTTTTTTTTTTTTTAAATAGCTACAGCTAAAGCTGATTTTTATGGCTACTTTAGTCTAAATAAATATTCCTGACTCAATGGATCAAGATAAAACCACAATCTGTAGTTACTTCTTTAACAAATACCAAACTGGGACAGTCTTTTGCCCACTCATGGATTTTTTGGGCTTCTTTCTTATTTGATGTTTAGCAGCAATTAACAAAAAAGTCTAGAAGAAGCTTATGCTTGATTTTGGACCTTGGACAAATCTAACCATATTCTGATAAGGAAGATTTGAAGCAGCAAGTATGTATTTACATTTTATATTTTCAAGTAAAGCTATAGACATAAGTCACACAATACAGAGGCCCTGCTTTCTGATGCAGTCACAGTAAAGATGAAAATATCAAAGTCTCTTGATCTACAGAATTTAGAAGGTATCACACAGGAAAACTTCAGTAAAATCGCAAATTGCTCCTGCTCCTTCAAACTCTGACTACCATGAAAATGTTTATTTTTGTATTTTCCAGTTGACTAAGTTATTCCAGGGGATTTTCCCAGTGTAAGGAAGAAGTTGATCCTGAACATGTTTTTTGTAGTATCATAATTTCCATCACAGAACTAGAAAGCTCTCTTTTTTTTTTTCTTTTTTTTTTTTTTTTTCCCCTGGAAGGGGAAAGCCCCCTGCTTTTTCATGTGCCTCCTGATTTCTAATAATACCACAGACTTCTTTGCCTTGCAGTGAACCAGTTCCACAAGGAGGTTGCCACATCAGATTATATGAGTTTGCTTCATTTCCAGGCAGTGCTATTTAATATACATCTGCTATGTAATAGATGCAGCAAACTGAAATGATTTTCAGTTGGGTTAGTCTTTATTGGATCTGACCTCTGGTCTAGGAGGTGAAGGGAGAGTGGAAAATGAAAGCTGATTTGGTATTAGCCCACTATTCATATTAGAAAAAGTAAATGCTTTTGCGGTTTTCCTTACAGAGGTGTCTTTATTCATTTGACATGCCTTTAATAACTAATTCTAGTTGTCTGGTTGCCAAGATAGATTTCCTACAGGCAGACTTAAAAGTGATTTTGTCCTCTTTGAATGCATGGCTTCAAATGATCCCAGAACAGCAAACATTAAACTTCCCCCTAGACCTCGAGATTTTTCTGAAGCACTGTAATAACATGAAAGGATAAGACTATTAGAAATATATAAATAAATGAATTAAGCATGCTTCATATGATATGAGCAGGACAATAAAACTCCTTGTTTTTCCATGCAAACTAATATCTTTTTCCTACTGTTGGCCATATGCTGTGGATTTCTCACAATTCCCATTTTATGGATTTTGGTATCATCATTCATAGCTGCCTGGGAATGAGAATGTTTTGTAGGTTTCATCTGAAAGCAAGGAGCCAACAGAGCTCAATATTTTCTTTCACAGATGGCTTTGTCAGTGTATTTTATTCACATCATCACAGAGCTTTAAATGTGTATCCAGTGTACATGCATCTATGTAGCAGGTATGTCTATGAGCACATTTAAACTGGCATGGGAGCTGTGAAGTAGGATGACT